TTATATACCAGTGTGTCAGTTCTTACTTACCATTGGACACAACATTTTTCATGTAGACTTTTCTCAACAACTTTGCAATATTGACTATCCTGTGGTGATGCCATAGCCTATAACTGAATGATTTGCAATCTTGTGTGCAAAATAAAGTAGTCATGTTGATAATCTGGTGAAAGTGTTTCTCTATCGCAGAATTAGATGTATGAAAAATATGGGTGCAAAACTTAGGGTATTTCTTAATCTCTCAAGGGACAGGTTATAGTGGCTTATTATTTATCATTTAGGGGAGGCGATGGAGTGACGGATTTCCCCAAGCAGTTGAAGCAAAAGGTCTGCCCATTCAAAACGAAATTGTGACACTTGCTTCAATTGGCTACCAAAATTTCTTTCTCCAGGTTGGAGCAGTCTATCTCTCATCTGAATAAGTGTCACATTTATGGGAATTTATCCTCTTAAACTTATTTATTTACCTATTACAGTTCCCAAAACTTTGCGGGATGACTGGCACTGCAGGAACTGAAAGCACAGAATTTGAAAGTATATACAAGCTTAAAGTTAAAATTGTTCCCACAAACAAGCCTATGGTTAGAAAGGTATCCTATACTGTTTTATCTTGCCATTATAAAAAAGTACTACTAAACTATACAAATTGTACTACTAATATTTACTCGTATTTCCATCTTTTTATAGATTTGCATATAAGTGGTTCAGTAATTAGATTTGCTTACCACGTATAAAAAATATAGGTAGATTTGCATAAGAGGGTGATGGTTTTTTTTTATATTTTTTTTAACTATAATTAGTACAATCAAGTTTCTTATCAAATCTTTAATCTCTTTCTCAGGATGAATCTGATGTAGTTTTCAGGGAAACTAAGGGAAAATGGCGAGCTGTTGTAGTAGAGATTTCTAGGATGAACAAGACAGGTCATCCTGTACTTGTTGGTACAACTAGTGTTGAGGAGAGTGACTCATTGTCTGAGCAATTGCAAGAAGTTGGAATTCCCCATGAGGTGTGGTCTCCTCTGTCATTATTTAAGTTCATTACTTACAGATTTTGTACTATTAATTTATCGAAGACCAACTGGGTGTGAAGTTAATCTTCACTTTATTTTGTTTCTTTTAAATTTGGATAATGTTATTTAGAAACTGTAGAACACCATGTGCTTTGTGAGAGGAAATTTATTATATTTATGATTTCCGGAAGGTTCTCAATGCAAAACCAGAGAATGTGGAGAGGGAAGCAGAAATTGTAGCACAAAATGGTCGTCTAGGGGCAGTGACTATTGCGACCAATATGGCAGGTTGAGGAACTGACATTATCCTTGGTGGGAATGCTGAATTCATGGCAAGGCTGAAGCTACGTGAGATGCTTATGCCAAGATATCATCCGAGCTTCAAGATTATTGTTTTTATTTTCTTTTTCTATAAACGTTTACGTCCTTTGCCATCCTGTCTGTATCCTAGTGCTTAACATGTTTGAAACTTGGACTTAACACCTAGGAAACATATTTAGAGTATTTAGAATAACTTGGATTGAAAGAAGAATCGATTTCCACTGATTTTATGTGGGTGTGTTTCATGGGGATTTGTATTCTGACATTTACAATATTTGATTTTTAAATATCTGCAGGCCGTTTTGTGTTTTCTTCTGTAAGTTATCTAAGGTTAAAGCATACATTTCATACTACCTTTTGTGTTCTTGCAGAGTTGTTAAACTAACAGAAGGTGGTTATGTGTCAGTGAAAAAGCTTCCCCAAAAGAAATCATGGAAGGTATGTTTTTCTTTCTGGTCGTCTGTTACTGGTTTTCACTTACAGGTACAAAAGTTCAGATATGAAAAAATCTCACTGTTCAATGAATTTATTATCTTGAAACTCAAAATGATTTTTTCAGGTTAATGAAAACCTGTTTCCATGCAAACTATCCAATGAAAAGACCAAGTTGGCTGAGGAAGCTGTAAAGTTAGCTGTTGAAATGTGGGGTCAGGGGTCATTAAATGAGCTTGAAGAAGAGGAGCGTTTATCTTATTCTTGTGAAAAGGTGAATCTTTGTCGCTTAGCTGAAGCTTCCTCTTGCTATAATAGACTATTAAGTCTTTGCATTTGTTAGGGCCCTGCTGAGGACCAAGTCATAGCCAAACTACGGAGTGCCTTTCTAGAAATTGTTAAAGAATATAAGGTCTACACAGAGGAAGAACGAAAGAAGGTCAGTTTTGTTTGGCGAAATAGATTTTCCTCAACTTTCTTAGTGCTGATGTCTTATATTTCTAATTTCTGGCAGGTTGTGTCATCTGGTGGGCTTCATGTCGTGGGGACAGAACGCCATGAATCTTGTCGAGTCGATAATCAGGTTCAAGTCTTGGAAAGATTAGTTATAGTGTCTTCAATTAACTATACCTCTTTTTAGTTTAAGTTCCTTATTTTCTCAACGTTGGCATGGGAGATTTCCTGCCAAAGAGTATTTCTCGAAATTGATTTCAGTAATTTGTATCTATATAGCTGCGTGGTCGAACTGGAAGGCAGGGGGATCCTGGAAGTTCTCGGTTCTTCTTAAGTCTTGAAGATAACATCTTTCGTATATTTGGTGGAGACCGTATTCAGGTTTACACCTTGGTTCTGGGTATCTAATTGCTAATGCTTCTATAGGCCTGCTAAAGAATGATCGGTATTCCAACTTGTAGGGTTTAATGAGAGCCTTTAGAGTTGAGGACCTACCAATTGAGTCCAAGATGCTGACCAAAGCACTAGACGAAGCTCAAGGGAAAGTGGAAAATTATTTCTTTGATATTCGAAAGCAATTATTTGAGTTTGATGAAGTGTTAAACAGCCAGAGAGACCGTGTCTATACGGAAAGAAGACGAGCCCTTGAATCTGACAATCTCCAATCACTTTTAATTGAATATGCTGAACTAACAATGGATGATGTCTTGGAGGTACGTGTGCTAAACAAAATTCTTTTTGATAAATTTGTTCCTATATAGGTCTGATTCTTGGGTCTGTTAAATGAAATCAAAATTTGTATGGTGAATAGGCAAATATTGGGTCAGATGCTTCAAAAGAAAGCTGGGATCTTGAGAAGCTAATCAAGAAACTTCAACAGTAAGTTGCATCTTCCATTCTCTGTGATCATCAAGAAACTTCAACAGTAAGTTGCGTCTTCATTTCTTTCTAATCCTACCATGAAGTTACAGGAAGCTGAGTTTTTGAACTCTCTTAGAAAACCCAGTACTTATACTAACTGTTGATTGCTGCAACTGCAAGCCTTTTGTTAAGAACATGTATGAACTTTATTTTGGATTACTACTTGCTTGATATTAGTTTTCTGGAGGCATAAAATTTTGATTATCAATGTTGTTGAACTGCACGTATCAGGATATTATTGAGAGCAAAGCACCAGGCTTGACGAAGGATGCTGAAAGGTTCCTAGTTTTGAGCAATATTGATCGCCTGTGGAAGGAGCATTTACAAGCACTTAAGTTTGTTCAACAAGCAGTCAGTTTACGTGGATATGCTCAGCGGGATCCACTTATCAAATACAAGCTTGAAGGGTATAATCTTTTCTTGGAGATGATGGCACAGATTAGAAGAAATGTCATATATTCCATATACCAGGTGTGTATCAGATTGTAACTTAAAAACTTTTTCATAAGAAACATGTTTGTCAAATATACCTAGTATTCCAATTCTGGTTTTGTTTTTGGTGTTGTTATTTCGCAGTTTCAGCCGGTGATGGTAAAGAAGGATGACGACCAAAGAGAGGATTAGAATTCGGGAAAAGTTGTCACAAATGGTAGGAGTAATAATGACCCTGATCCGGTGAGCGCTGTCTGAGTCTTCAGCAGCTGCGACCCCCCAATCTAGTGCTTAACATCTACACGGGCATAAATGGTTATTTCTGGAGAAGATGAAAGGAAGCTTCATTCCATTGTGTTGATTGGTATATATATACATACTGTACAATTGTTGCAAAGTAAAATTTTGGAGAAGAGGGTGTTAAATGTCCAAACGTTTTTTTTAAGAATAGGAAAAGGGGGAGGTGGTTTTGTCTACTGCATTACGAAAATTAGAATCAAAATTAGGAAATTTGTTGTAACACTTACCATGATCATAATTATAGAAAGGTTTTTTAGCCAAAATGGTCCTTAAGATTTGCATAACACATCATTTTGGTCCCTGAGATTGTCTACTATCCATTATTTTGGTCATTTCGGAAGTTTGAGCAATTTTCAAAGCTTTGTAACTCAATTATTTTTTAACCAAATTCGACTCATAATATATCAAAATGAACATAAGAAAGTGTAAAACAAGATTATATCTATTTGGAAGTTCAATAGTTGCTGGAGATAGCCGGAAAATAGCTTGAAAGGTGCAGGAAAATTGGAAAACTAGGTAAACTTTAAATGTTCATAACTTCAATACTCAACGAAATCGAGTGATTTAAAAAACAAAAATCATACTTCTCGACAAGACCAAGAGAATGGTACCTTTCTCGACGGCTAACTCGTCGTGGTTTGGCTGGAAAATAGCTCGAAAGTGGCTAACTCGACGATCAAGACAGCCACTTTCGAGTCGTTTTTTGGCCAAACCACAGCGAGTTAGCCTTTGAGAAAGGTACCATTCTCTTCGTCTTGTTGAGAAGTATGATTTTCGTTTTCGAATCACTTGATTTCGTTGAGTATTGAAGAAGTTATGAATGTTTAAAATTTACCTAATTTTCAGCGAGTTTTATAGTTTTTCAGCGGACCAGTTATCTTTTAGGCTATTTTCCGACCATCTCTAGCAACCATTGGGCTTCCAAATGGGTATAATCTTGTTCTACACTTTCTTATCTTTATTTTGATATATTATGGGTTGAATTTGGTTAAGAAACAATTGAGTTACAAAGTTTTGAAAATTGCCCAAATTTTCGGCCAAGAGCTCCGTGACACTTAATGGAGTTTTTAACGGAATGACCAAAATAATGGATGGTGGATGGTGGACAATCTCAATGAACAAAGTGATGTGTTATGCAAATCTCAATGACCATTTTGAATAAAAAAGCCTTACAGAAATTACAAGATTACTGTATCTTTGTTCCTTTCATTGGGTTCATCATAACAAGTTAACTGCATAATCAGGCATACATGGATACAATATAGTCTCTCAAACAGAAACAGCACCTGCATCTGTTGTCTTCAACATCTATACACACAGGAGGCTCATCTCTGGACTTTTCCTTGTGTTGTGGTAAGCATTTGAGAAGAGTTGAGGCATTTACTTCCGACACTGAGTTGCATTGTATTACCACTAAGGATCTCCTCAAAAAGTAGATTGATGGCATTTCCTTTAGCCTGCAAAACAGAAGAACGTACAATTCAAAGGAAATGGCTTATGTTGGAGCACTGAATGCATTTCAAAGGAAGTAGAACAAGGGCTACCTTAACTCCCATGGCAATGGCTGTTTTAAGTTTGAAAAGTTGACCCAATCTCAATGAAGCTCCCTTGTTATCTTTGAGAAAGATGACTGGGACCTTCCTTGAAAGAGCCAAGCTTGGCAGGTGCTTTGACAGCCATCGTGGATTGCAATCAGATGCGATCACAACAGCCTGAAGCTCAATGTATGCTGCTTTACCTGCCAAGCTGCTTGCTCTTGCTGTTGGTGGCATGCGTTCAAGCACGCGAGTCACGTCATTCACCCCTATTGCGAATAGTTTCTACAAACATAATACAATTATTCAATTTTATGAATTATCAAACTTGTTCTAAGTAATATTATTTCTAGTTCTACTCGCAGTCGCAGTGTTGGAAGATGGCTCAACTTCGAATCTCCTTCCCGTCAATTAAATAACGAAAAGAAAAAAGACACCTTATCAAACAGAAGATACATAAACCTTGAACCATATCTTTTCTGGTAATGACTTGCCATCCTCAAGTCTTGCTGACTCTATTCTTCTGTGTTACAAAAAAAAAAAAAAAAAAAAAAGCATTAGACTAATGTTGTCGTTCATGATGACAAGTCTCACACAAGTTTAAAGCTATTGACCTCTGAATTTGTTGGAGAAGACGATCGAGACGTTCCCCTTCATACAAGCTACATATTTAGCAGAGATTAAGTTGTTAACAATCGATTTGTCGAAAATAATTGGAACTCAAAACGCATCAAATACTCAAAGGAGAAAGGAGGCACGTACTCTTGGCCTTGAAGGAGAATGGCAGATTTGGAATGCCCTTGAGAGTTTTTGTTTCTGGGCGGCATGTTTACGCACACCGACTGCTCGACGAAAAACCTCAACCAGCCTAGCCTGCTTAAGGTTTTAGCAAAACCGGAAATAAGGAAGAAAGGGTGGGTGCCCCAATGGAAGCGCCAAGCTTTGGGCCTACAGAAACAGATTAAAAAAGGCTTGTGGACTCGGAAGCCAAGCCCAAGATGCTACTAATAATAATTTGTTGTCATGTCTCTCTTTCCTCTTTATTTATTTTTTATTTTTTTATTTATTTTATTTTTTATTTTAATTTAAAGAGACAATTGATGGTAAGCCACGGTAATCCATTCCTTCCGAAGGCCGGAAAAACTCTCCTTTGTTTTAAGAAACGATTAATTGTTTGTTACTCTAAAAACATCTTTCATAATAACTTTGTTAAAAGAAAAAGAGTATGAAATGTCATTTTTTAAGTGCATCGAACGAAGCGGAAAAGATACAAATGGAAAACTGTGTATCGTCTTATTTGTTTATATGTATTTTGTTATGACTCATTTGAGAGTTGGAAAAATAAATGAACGGAAAATATGATATTGGTTTGGTTGGCAAGTTTTTCAAAGGCTCTTGTTTCAGAAGAAAGGGAGAAAGAAACCCAAAACTAATAAAATTGAGGGAATTACAAAGTAAAAGGGGAGGAGAGTTGGATTTGGAGCAAGTAAAGAGTCATATTGACAAAACGGGGAAGAAAAGAAAAGGCATCCATCGGTAGCTACAATTACAATACTCACTTTTTGTCGGTATCCAATGTCACATGATGACATGAATTGAAAAGTGCAATTGAGCAGATGAGCAGATATCCATGGAGATTTCAGTGAGTTTCTTATTATACTCTTAATTTTGGGTGGGGGTGGTGATCTCCTTCCTTCTTCTACTCACAAGTCACAAGGAAAGGAAAGGCTGGGAAGCTGAAGCTGCTTGGATCATCTCCTTCCTTCCTTCATATGCTATGCTATGATGAGGACGACGACATCTTCTTCTTCTTCTTCCACTCTCACTGTCACTGTCAGTTCCTTATAATTTTGTTTGAGAGAAACCATCAAATTCCGTCCTTTGGTTCCTTTGTGACTCACTTCAACATTAAATTATACCAATTCTTAGCATGCTAAATGCTCTCTTTATTGAGATTCATCTCAAAGTCAAAGTTACGTGTGTTCAGGTGGTGGACGTGCTTCTGCTACTTGCATTGCTTGGCGCTGCTGCTCCGTCGTCTGTCAAAGGCAGCCCACAGTGCAGCAATCAGGCCAACTCAGGGGAAATTCGACCTCACAGTGTCGCCATCACTGAATTTGGAGCTGTAGGAGATGGGGTCACTCTCAACACAAAAGCCTTTCAGAATGCCGTCTTCTATCTCAACTCTTTCACACGCAAGGGTGGGGCCAAGCTCTTTGTCCCTGCTGGCCGCTGGTTGACAGGAAGCTTCCGTCTCATCAGTCATCTAACCCTCTGGTTGGATAAGGACGCTGTCATTCTTGGATCAACGGTAATCTTCCGCTCACCTTCTTTCCAAACAGTTCAACAAAAATTTGTGAATATGCTTGCATTTTGCAATATATATATATATACACAAACACACACACACATACAAAGACAATGCAACCTGATTGGTTGATGCTTGCCCTCTCTCGGTACATTTGTCAGCAGGTTCGGCTCACTTTTGATTCATTTGTTGTAATTAAACTAAAACAGACTCCTCAGTATATTGTATTGTAGGAACGTGTCAATTTTGATAAAAGAAGTTGTATATTGATCTTTGTGTAAGATTTACAATGGACAAGAATACATATATGGAAGAAAGTAGGAGAAATGAACAACTACAAGCCTCTCCATACTTTAAGCCATACCTAACATCTCCACGAGTGATTGAAAGGAAAAATAACTTTTAAATCTTTTGGTAAGTTGGTAATCACAACCCTAGCAACTTGTTAAGGTGGCAGCTACAACCATACATAATCTTCCAATAGAACGTATTTCACAATCCTATATATCACTAGTGTCCATACTAAGCTTATTGCCAGAATTCTGAAATGTTCTTAGTGGGAAATTGCCAAGTGTGTTGTGCATTCAGGATAGCTTAATTATTGTGATCATTATCGGTTCATTGCTAGTCCCAAAAGTATACATTATCTTCAGTCTCCTTTCCAGATAAGAGTTGAACTCCAATTCCAATAGGGCACTGCTATCTGTTTTGACCTTGTGGCCATGAAAAATACTTTAGCTCATAATACTGAGTAACTTCTTCTGTAATGTTTCAGAAATCTGATGATTGGCCAATTGTTGAACCATTACCATCATACGGTCGAGGAAGGGAGTTGGCAGGAGGAAGACATCGAAGTCTCATCTATGGATGCAATTTGACAGACATTATCATAACAGGTTGGTAGTATTTGATGATGAATCGTCTCTGGTATACATACACTTTGTTTGATTTGTGATGTTCCTGCTCTATCATGCAGGTGATAATGGTACCATTGATGGCCAAGGTAGCATCTGGTGGGATTGGTTCCATAGCAAAACCCTGAATTATACGAGGCCCCATTTGTTGGAGTTGATAAACTCAACTGGGGTTGTCATCTCAAACTTGACCTTCCTAAATTCACCATTTTGGACCATTCACCCTGTATATTGCAGGTTAGTTTTATGATTTATCCACAAGGATTGAATATCATCTTTCTTCCTTGCTTGGTAGATTTCAAGTGTTTTGAGTATTATATGAATACTATGGAAAAGGGTAAAGATTCTATGAATTAGAGTGAGGAGTTGAGGCTATTTTTCTGATTGAACAGCCATGTAACTATCCAGAATCTGACAATCCTTGCTCCTCTCAAGTCTCCAAACACAGACGGGATTGATCCAGGTGAATCACCAGAATCTCCTTTTCATTATGAAGATAACATTTTCTTAGTTTAAGCAATTAGAAATGCGAATCACTAATGGTTGATTGTCATATAAATATCAAAACTTGAAAAGTACTTGTAAAAGGCTATGGGGCGTTTTGTTTAACTTCTCAGTATAGACTCTAGAGCATGGAAAACATCAGAGTTTTGCACGTGAAAACCGTATTATCCGTCATCGTTTCCTCATTCTCCCACTTGAAAATTTCTGAGTGTCAAAAAAGCACATAATATCACTTTCATTTCTGACCAACTGCATCAACTTTAATCTTCATTCTACCTTCATTTAGCAGTTGTAAACTACAAGCAAACAAATTTGTTCTTACCCATCCATTATAATGCATCCAGATTCTTCAGATAATGTGTGCATTGAAGACTGTTATATTAGCACTGGTGATGATCTGATTTCCATCAAAAGTGGGTGGGATGAGTATGGAATTTCATATGGTCGACCCAGTAGAAACATCATCATTCACAGGATTACCGGTAAAACTGAAACAAGCGCTGGAATTGCAATTGGAAGTGAGATGTCGGGAGGTGTGTCAGAAGTTCATGTAGAAGACCTCCACTTTTTTGGTTCTAAAACAGGTATCAGGATAAAGACCTCCCCAGGAAGGGGTGGTTATGTGAGAAATATATATGTGTCAAACATGAACTTGGATGGTGTAGGCATAGCTTTAAGGTTCACCAGTCAGTATGGGGAACACCCAGATGAGTTTTACGACCCAAATGCCCTCCCTAATGTAGAGCGAATTACTTTTAAAGATATCATAGGAGAGAATATCAAAACTGCTGGTCTCCTAGAGGGTTTAGAAGGTGAAAATTTTCTGAACATTTGCCTATCTAATATTACCCTTAACGTGACCTCAAAATCTCCATGGAAATGCTCTTCTGTTCAAGGATATTCCGACCTAGTTTCTCCAGAAACTTGTGCGCCTCTCAAGGAGAATCTCTCCCCACGGCATTATTCAGATTGTTACTCTCTATCTGATGACATATGGATTTCTTCCAGTAATCAAAACAGAGGTGCTCGGTGGCTATCTTGGTAGATTTAATGAAAGTCGCCTTCTGTGAATGTTGCAAATTTGATCCTTTCCATTTCCCAGTACATCATCCCACTGCACAGATGGAGAGAATAATGCCCGACATTAGAGGTTAAGTGCAGTTGCCTATTTGTGGTTTGCGCCTTGGAAGATGGTACTGAGAAATTATATTTCTTGTAAATATGTGCAGAGTAACAAATAATAATTGAGTGCACTATTATTTCTTCTCTTTACTTTTCAAGTAATACAGTGCACACTGCAGAAATTCGGAAAGAAAAAAAAAAAACAAAACAAGTCTCATGTTGCTGGGTCGAAAACCATCAGAAAACTCACATCATAGGAGTCTTCCAGCAATGATTTATGAACATTCTAATTTATAGTTAGCTTTCTTTTACTTCAATGAAGCATATAGTGTAACTTTAGCATAAAAAGAAAAATAAAACTGTTGATAGTTGCTTCCTGCACGCAAGAGCGCAGTGATGAAGCTAAATTTTAGTGAAATTCATTTCAATTAAAGCTGCATTCAATGGGGGGTAGTGTTCAAAAGAATTACATCCAATGGCAATGGGAGGTATAATAATTTTAAGCGTGCATACACATTAATCTCCAAGAAAATCCACATAAGATATCGTGACTACACACACAGGTGGCGAATGATGCTTTCTCAAAGGCTGAGAATCAATTTCTATTTAACACAATCCTCCCTATCTCGGGGACGCCTCTCTCCCTTCCTTCTGTGTAACAGAACATAGAACCTGCCTTGATATGTAGGTCTCCAGCTTCCTCGACACCTCCATGAATTTCAAGTCAGTTGTTTCGGTACTTGTGCTTTGGTGAGGGCACAATGCCAGAGAACATAGTCAGTGAACTAGGAACCCACCTTCTTGGGCTTGAAAACTTTCCGCCGGGTGACCCTGGCATCCACCCTTTGGATATGAGAAGTGTTAAGCCTGATCCTACAGTAGTGGTCGTGCCTTTATCTGTGCTCGTCATGAGTGGTCCACATTTTGTCTCTAACAGTAATGGTTTCAATGAATCCTCTTCTGTAGGCCGCTTCTGTTTCACAACCTGTTCTCTGGCTTTCTCTGCTGCTATCGATGCTTTATCTTTACTCTTCATCAGCCTCCAGGGGTCAATGTTGACATGGAAGCCTTGTTTCTTAGTTGAGGTAAAAGGCTGAGGATCGCTATCAGTTCTTATGGACAGCCTTTGGTTGTTCTGAAACTTTGAATAGCAATTTATCCCATAAGTCATGCTGCAAATAGACTTGCATGCCTTCTGAAATCTGAAGATGCAAAACTAGGGAAGGCTGTATGTAAACCGAGATACTAATGAGGGAGCTGTCAATTAATGTAACTTACCAATAACAAAAGGAAAATCATAAGGAGAATGAATGTGGTGTAGTTCTTTTTTTCCAATGCAGTTGTTTAACCACTGGAAGAGAAGAACAATTGAATTTTATTTTCAGTTGTTTAAGGGAAGAGAAGAACAATTGAATTTTATTCAGTTTTGAATAACATATCCTAAATACTTGATATTTGAGTTTCTAAATTGAATGAGAGGAAAAGGAGTTGTAACAATTTCTCACCCGGCAGTAGTGGTCAAAGGTATCAACACAACGGTTGCAGGTCTGCAGTGCTTGCCGTGTTTTTTCACCTGCAAAACAGAATTTCAATTACTTGTGTAAATACAAATTATATGATGAGAGTGTGATATCTAAGCTCGGATTAGGATTAGGGATTTAATCCGTTGTTTACCTCAAAGTCGCAGAGCGCGCAGAAAGAGATGTCATCCCTTAAATTAGGAGAGACAGCTTCTTCTTTTATGAGGACAAAGGAAACGGGAGCAAAGGATCCAACTGAGCAACGGTCTTCCATGGATTGAGATACCTTCTCCTTATAAAAGTCCTGAGGATCTTCCTCTCCACCCTCCTAAAGAAGCTCACTACAATCTACCTGAGAAGGAAGCCGTCGTTGAGTTTTGGAAGGCCTTTGCCACCTTGAGGTTTCTTCTTGTTCTTCTTCTTAAGGCTGGTTCTGTCAGTTGGGTCAGTGGCTGTGCACCTTATGAGGAGAAACATGACCGAAACAGCCTGAAATTGACATTTCAAATTTCAAAGAAAATTAATTCACTCGGATATGAGATGTCATATGCTGATATGGATTGATAGAGCAGTGGAGTAGAGTGAAGTACCACAAAGGAAAAGACGGACTGTGATTTCGAGGATTCTATTTCCGAGGAAAAATCCAAGGAATGTGTAGAAGACCACAACAAGAGAACTGTAAACTGCAATTCCAACAATCTGCAATTCCCACATTTACATTTGGTTCGTAAATTAAATCAAAGGCTACCAATCACTGAATACCAGTTAACAAATGAAACAAAGTGAGTCGGAGTTACTGCAGAGATGGAATGGGCGTTACCAGCCATGGCATCTGCTGTTCATTTCCAACAACACAGACAACACTAGGCTAGACTCAGACTAGACTAGTTGCTTAATCGTCTTTCCGCTTGCTCCTTCTCCAAACACAATACCAGTACTACTAACTAATATTTTTTTTTTCCTTATTCTTAATTATTTAAGGGCAAATTTGGAAGTTTACTGGAGAAGTTGGAAGTTAAAATAAGATAGTTGAGGCCAAATAAAACCTCCCTCTAAAGTAAAGGACGATTGGATTTGGAATCTTTTTGACAGTAGGGACCATAGAAGGATGCCTGAGTATTAGGAACAAGCAGAAGGAGAAGTCTGTAAGTTCTTGTTTCAACAATTTCAATCCCACTCGGAGATTTCTTTTCGTTGAGAGTTTGAGAGAAGGAGAGGGCGGCGGAAAACGAGAACAGGGAGCAACATGCAGCTGCAATCACCCAACTCAAATCAACTTCTCTAAGAACGGTCTCAATAACAATCTAAAAGCAGTAGGGCAGTGAACAAACAGCTCATCCTCACTGTCACTTCCTCTTTCACACATTATGCACTGCTGGAGAGAAAAGACATTTAGTCTTCTCATATGAATCAAATCACATGTCTACACTCAAAATAGTTTTAGATTAAAAAAAAATTTAATTGAGAAGCAACCAGTGTACATAATACATAAAAACACTGGACAAGACATCCGCTGCCCCCTGATACCTGATACAAATAAAGTCCCAGAAACATTATAGCGAAATTAGAAAAAAAAATTAAATGAAAATTGATTACGACTCTAGCAACACTTGTAATAGATCATCCTAATCGTCCCTCAAACTACAGGTCCTTTTCAATTCTAGTACTAGAGAAATTTGGGTTACATTCTGGCCCATGAGCGGAACTGCCGCTTGAACTAGTGGTGAATGATAAACTTCTACCAAAGTTCCAAACAACTTTCAAATGGCGTAAATTACAAGAATAATTAAGTACACTCACTCGTCTTTGTACTGTTGAATTTCACCCTCGGAAAACTCCCCAGATGAGAACAGGTCAACAAGAGGAATGGATGGTGGATCAGTCTGCCCTTGCATAAGTTCGTAGCACCCCAAAATTTTCCTTACTTGCTCTTATTTTTCTTCTTTGAAATGTCTGCCTAAAGAGGAGGGGAGGGAGAGGTCAGATGCAGAACTTCGTACCTACCTCCCCTATATCCATATCTCTGAATAGCATAGATACCAAGAACAACAACAATCAACCCAACTTCTGAGAGTAGTTCCTCATCGTGTCTCCAAAAAAAAGAAAATTAGTGATCCTTCTTCAGTCCGTCCCCAACAACTCTATGGCGGAGGAGGAGCTGCCTCCAAAGAAGAGACCGAGACGTTCAAGATCACAGCCGTGGGAGGACCCTGCTGCTACTGATGTCGAACCAGAAGCAGAACCCGTATTCGAATTCTATCTTGAACCAGCTATCCGAAAGTCAGACATCTTGAAGTTTCTCAAGACATACCAATATGCAGGCAACAATGGGTGGTGGGATGATGTGGCTCACGCCACGAACAATGCAGACACCTACCTGCAGTACATTCTTCAGTTCTTAAACATGGGTGAGAAGGTAGAGTTTGAAGGAGATGCCATTATGTTCGTAGACGAATATCTGAAACCCCATAAGCTGAAGAAACATAAGGAAGAATTTGTCAAAACTTTCAATTGCAAGAGCACAATCTGGTTCAAGACTTGATTTTGAAGATGTCTCCCAAAGAAAACTGGCCCGAAATTGTTTATCAGATCGAAGTCGAATTCTTGAAATGTCTGGACTCAATTGAGAGAGAAATTGGGAGTAGGCTGATGAAATTCTCAAGCTTTTGTGCATTCGATGGCCGCCTAGTCGTCTTCCATGCAACAGAATTACAATAGCATCCGATGGCCGCCTAGTCGTCTTCCATGCAATAGAATTACAATAGTGTCCCTCGCCATGTCAATATTTGGAAGGCTGCGGTGCTGTTAATCTTTCAAGTTTGTTCCACTGGCCGTGGTAAAAAGAACGGAAACAAGAAAGCAACCGCATTTATACTTACAGATAATAAGATAATAAGACAACAAAAGAAGCTATTGAAAAGGTAGGACCCATCATTTTAACGCAGTTAGAAGTTGCCATTACCAATGATGTTTATGGATGACATGATTTCTTTATGCAAAACTATCATCCTACGTCTCCAGACTACCTAAACTGTCTAGAGCAATTAAGATGGTGTTCATGTTCCTTGCACCACCAAGAATCGGACGAATGGAAGATGGAAAATGCCTACTACATCATCTAAGACTCGATATCAACAAACACGAGCTACTAGCTCCGTGTCTCATGTTTGTTGATACCAAGTCTTAGACGGTGTAGTAGGCCTATTATGTCTTCAATTCGTCCAATTCTTGGTGATGTCGAGCAACATGAATGCCATGTTAATTGCCCTAGACGGTCGAGTTAGTCTAGAGACATAGGATAATAGTTTTGGATAAAGAAATCTTGGCCGTCCAAACCATCATCAACGGCAACTTCTAGCTGCGTTAAAATGATGGGTCCTACCCTTCCAATAGCTTCTTTCGTCATCTTCAAAATCAACAGCAGCCTAGCAAATCTTGACCTGGAGAGGGACACTAGGTAATTCTACTGCGTGGAAGACAACTCGACGGCCATGGCGGTGCACAAAAGCTTGAGAATTTCATCATTCATACTCCCAATTTCTCCTTCATTGGAGTCCGAACATTCTCTTGGGAGCAAGGCTGCTCCGAACAAGGAAGTCTCCTCCTCTTCGGATTTCAAGAATTCGACTTTGATCCGATCAGTTTTCTTGGGAGCCATCTTCAAAATCAAGTCTTGAACCATTCCCTTAAAAGTGTCGTCAATGCAGCAGCAGCCTGCATCTGTAGATATACATTTTGCGAAAGAATTAACTACTGAAAGAATTAACAATGCAGCAACAACATGATAGGCTTAAAAGATGTGTAACTGAAGGCGGGGATACTCTGCAGTCATCATAGCTTGCACTAATGCAAATAAAAAAGAAGAGGATCAAAGAAATACTTTCCGAGTAAGATAGAGATGATACAAAAGCATATATGGCTGTCTTGTTATCTAATTAGCTTCAGTTCGTGTTGAATACAAATAATTGTTTATGGTAGGTAGGGAGTACTTTCTCAACATGCTTAGGGGTAAATTGTTTGCCTTTTCTGGGAGTAGCTATTCCGAGGTTGGTTGAGAGGGTGAACATTGAATCTGTCGACATTAAAGGGGCACGGTTACTATACTAAGAGTTTTGTTACTTGGCCCTAGTTAACTTAAGCTGAAAAAATATATGAAAAACTGTTTCAGCAGAACGAGTAGCCCACTATCGAAGAACACTGTATAATCATGAAAAGAGGTCAAGAAAAAAGTACACAACCCTGAATCTTAAACATGTTAAAGAAACTAATATACAAAAATTTGAATAAAATATATTGAGGAATTAAATGAATTTCTTGTAACCCTAAATTCCAAATATATCTAACTGGATTGTGACGTTGGAAATTTTTTAACTTTGAGCACTGGGAAGCTCACCCCGGGCAAGTCAAGACTCAACAGAATATCGATTTGCAATCTTTCTACGTCTCACAATCACAAACCTCGTGTTGTGTGAATGGTAATTCATGTCGATGAGATGAGAAAATTTCCAACGCTGAAATTGCAAACATATATAAAGCCCAATCCCGGCCCACATCTATTCGTTCGACTTTTTAGTTTGACTAAAATATAACTTGAAAGAATTTACCTATGCCTGCTGCACATGAAAAGTTAAGAGGCAAATATAACTTTTAATTTTAAATTTGGTTCATAAAATTAAAATTTATATGTGACTTTGATTTTGCATAAAATTAGAATTTTCATATGACTTTGATTTTGCATTTGACTCTAGAAGTCAGATATAACTCTACATTTGACTTAAAAAAAAGTTATATTGAACTATTATTTGATGTGCATTAGGAATGATATAACATTTATAGTCATTTGATTTCAAAATTGACCTTATAACTTATAATTTTTAACTATTAGGTCAGAGAATTCTATGTAATGTACTTGCGAATTTTGAGAATTAATGTGTTGAACGAAATTCATTCATAACCATAAAATCAAGAATGCATGATTGAAGAAATCACATAAATTCAGAAAATAAGTAGGCGGCCATCACCATCATCTAATTCACACATCGTTACAAAAGTCATGTCTTTTCAATAATGATATTGCTACACTATTTGGTTTTATTAAGAAACCCTAATCATACGCACTTTTCATATCTGCGAACATATATTTGTTCATTCAATTTTTGAAATTAAAACCTAATCAATAAATTGGTGCTTTACCAAAAAATTAATGATAAACTAGTGTCAGCATTCAAATTCAACAATATAGGACTCAGTTAGTAGCTCCCTATAATTGGATCAAGATTGTCTCCCCTCCTACTTTTCATCCTCTTCCATCTCCTCTTACTTTTTCAACCATGAATTTCATACCAAGTTAATTTAATGCTCAAGATTTTGACACCTCACCAACAACACTAAAACATCTTTAAAGCCCAACTTTCCTAACTTTTTCTGCTGCCTTTCCTCCCCCTCCTATCTGCCTTTTAAGCTACCTTTGTTTCTAAAATACATTTTACATAAGCCTGGACTGGAGTACTAATACATGCTTCCAACGAGATCCAAACCTATCTAACTCAACAACTTTGCCTACAATCTCTTTTACTTACAATAGAAGCAAAATTTCAATTAAGCATTTGGTAATGCAGACTCAAGAAGTCCAAAATAACAATAAATTGGCCTCTGCAATCTCTATGTATGGCATACCTACTTCTGCAATAACAATAAGTTAGCTTCCTCTCTTCATCTCTAGTGGTCACCGCTTACATTCAAACTCAAAGCCTATAATCATCAGAATCAATCATTTTCCATCCTATTTGCAATAGAGAAAAAGATATAAAAGAGAAAAAAATCATCATCTCAAATTTTGTTTCTTTACGGAGGAGAAGCAGTACCAGAACTTTTGTACACTTTAAAATTGTTCTCAATTACCCTATAAAAAAAAATAATGGGACACGTTCAATCAGAAAAAGAGGACCCCGACACGTAATAAAAAAGAAAATACAAATCCTATAGTAAAAACAAGCAAAAAAAAAAAAAAGAAAAAGGAAGAACATAAAACACAAACCTGAGAACACCCAATGAAGATGCAGTGCTGTAATAAGGATATAGGTGCAAAAGTTTAGATGATCAACTTTGTTGTGATTGTGACCCAGAAATCGAATCGGCGGGAGGCAAAGTTCAGGAAAATTGGAAGAGCCGGGAAGGCAGATAGGAGGGGGGAGGCAGCAAAAAAAGTCAGGAAAATTGGGTTGAAAAATGCTTTAGTGTTGTTGGTGAGGTGGCAAAATCTGGAGTATTAAATTAACTTGGAATGAAATCAATGCCTGAAAAAGTAGGAGGGGATGGAAAGAGATGGAAAGTGAAAGGGGAGACAATCTTGGTCCCCTATAATTATCAACATGATTACAAATTAATAACTAGCTATTAGGGAATGACTTTTCATTTATTTTTTTATTAAATGATATTATCTATATCAAGGGAGTCGAGGTGGACTAAGCCTCACACGATGAACTAGCAATAATATGGTTTAAATTCATCTTTGGCGTAATTGAACCTAAGACATTTCACTTATAAATTAAGATAAATACTACTAGATTGTAGTACTAAGTAGCCTTCATGTGGTTGGATTGAACATTTTACGAAAAATAGGAGAGAGAAAGAGCTGAAAGACGCAAAACAAGACGGTGATACTTACTTAAGCTCGTGAGGAGTTCTTAGAGCCATTAGATTGCATGAATGGCTAAAATTTGTTTGAAATTTGGTGGAAACTAAAATAAAATTGTCTGTCTCAACTCGAAGTAGTGGTGGGCAAATGGGCCCTAGGCCCGCGGGGCGAGCCAGTTCCATGAGGTTTGAGGCGGGTATGGGGCGGGTCTAAAATTTGTAAAGACAAAATAGGGTGGGTTCACAAAGTTATCGAGACGGGGTGGGTGCAAAAACATTAGGAAATGGGGCCCCGATTGGACCCGTTTCTCCCAATTCTCATAAAATTATCAGAATATCTAACACACTCACCACAAAAGGAGCTACTTTTCTCTATCTCCACAAACCTCAAAAGGAGCTCCTTTTCTTTCTTTATTGGCTCTCCATTCCCATCTTTTTCTTTGCACTTTCCCCGTCACTTTTCCATTTTGCTTGCTTTTTCTCCCTCCATAGAAAGGTGCAGCTCCAACCACTTAAGGGTCTAATGAAGAGGATGAGGACGAGATTGACTTCGATTCTGATGATTTTGAGGGTGATTCTCTTTCCTTATAGCCTATGCAGTCTTATGTTGATGAGACCAAAATCAATCAAATCACTGAATTTTGTTATGAAGGAAATGCTTTATGTTCACAATCTGATGAAGAAACCATCTTGTCTTATGGTTAATGGAAGATGATGAAGACGATATGCTAGAACACTATTTGGCTAAGAAGTCGGACTCATCGACCCACTATTCGAAGAGAGTCACCAGCTAGATCTAAAAACAATTGAATGAGAGCATCGTCTAATGAACAAATGGGTTACTGGAGGATTTGCTTAAGGCGTTGGCGAAGATGTTGAGGAAGGGAACGAATTGGAAGACGAAGACTAGACTTAGGCATGAGTGAAGATTTGGACCCGTAGGAACCGACTCGTTTCAATGGGTTGGGTTAGGTCCGGATCCTATTTTGAAAAATTCAAAACTCGCCTCGGCCAGCCCCGTCCCATCCCGTTTTATTTACAAACGTGTCCGATCTAGTTCCTTCAATTTTGGGCTCGCCCCCGCCTAGGCCCACCCCTTACTCGAAGGTCGTGATAGGATCTTAAGCCCACATAATACACATGTTCTACATATAGAACCCATTATACATCTAATACTCATTAGGCTTGGCCCACTTTACATTTATTTGGTTAATTAAATTTTGATATTTTTTTTTTCTTATAAGATAAACTATTTGGATTCGGATTCTTTCTTTAATCACTCACACAAGTGTTACAAATGACACAATTTCCCCAAACCCAAAGGGAAAGGGCACAAAACCACGAGCTGGTGATCAAGTGGTAAATGACATATTGCGAGGCTTCCTTCAAACTAAAAATTGGAGGTCTCGGATTCAAAACCCACTGTTGGTGTGGAAGACAGACTTGTGGCCAGGGGATGGCTGAAATACCTCTATGAGTCTTCCTAGCCTCCGAAAGAGGTGAATAACCATGACTTGCCATAAGTTGTCCCCTCTTTTAAAAAATAAAAAATAAAATAAATGGAAAAGGCATGAAGAAATTTTGTGAGTTTTCTAGTCCTAGTCCCACCAAAACGAGGATAAGGGCCTACTTGGTATTCTACTTAAATCTAACTTTTAAACTCAAAAACACTTTTTAAGTTTTACAACTTAAATATTTGGTTAATCTGTTTAAAAAAACTGAATTCAAAACTAACATGAAAATTAACCTACTTTTGATTAACACAAAAAATGAATTTTAGAGTTTTTAAACCCTAAACCCACTACTTTTCTCTCTCATCTCACTCTTGATTTTTCTGTATATCTATCCTATCTTACTCTCTCTTACCCTCCAAATCTCTCTCCTCTCTCTGCTCTCTCTTCTCCTTCTCTCTTTGCTTTTTTCTTTTTTAATTATTAAAATTTAAAAATAATTTGGAATCTCATACTAAACAAGTTTTTTAATTTTAAATGTTCTTGAGAAATTATGAAAAACTTTTAATACGATACCAAACAAGCCATATAACATATTGTCATGAATCTTAGCCGTTGTTTTTGTTTGAGAATGATTTCTCATGTTTTATTTGGTCAATGAGATACAGAGAGTACAACACCGAACGGTGAGCAGGAACTCATTAGGAGGCTTTGAAAAGAAAAAAAAAATTATTTTAAGAATAGATTGATCTACTTCCCTTCACAGCTTCTCACATTGCATCACGATTACATTACTGGTGCAAGAAAATGGCGAATTGACGATGCCAACTTTCTCTTGTGCTCTGTTAATTACTTAGTTGCAGAATTCATTCATTCATTTTAGGGTAGGGTAAGGTAGGGTTTTTCTGTCAAAACTGGTGGCGGCGGCATCTTCTTCTTATTATTATTATGTTGGTGCGAGGATTCGTTGTTTAATATTTGTGTAGATAATCACAAAAAGATTTGGTAAAGTGCAAGATGGTTTCCAAGTCTTGGCAATGGCATCGAATAACCTCCTATGTGTGGCTGTGGATATTTTGGCCGCAGTTTCCAACCGTAGATCTTTTCTATAGTGATATTTGGACCTTGTCTGTTATGTAAAGTGCGATGAAAAAATTAATTTTTGGTCTTATAGTGATAAATGGACTCTCAATTATAGCGTGTCTGGCATAACGTTAACAATGAAGGTGCTCTTCGCTTTGGGTGAAAGTATAATCACCACCATGATTCTCTCACGCTGTTTGCAATAAGTCCAAATTCTCATGTCCTGTTCTTTGGCACTCGAAAGTTGATTGTTAGCTTTGACTTCGGAAGTAGAAGAAAGTCGAAAATAACATAGCATCGATAATATTAGATATTCCTAATAATCATAGTAATGGTCCTTGACGAGTTTTCGATTATGTAAGATAAGTGATATTGTCAAAAGCAAGTACTAACAAGTAAGTCTGATCTTTCTTGATTTCAACCATCTTTTGTGCAAGATCACTAATTGCTTTCAAGTTTTCAAACTCAATATTAGACATCATGTCCCAAATGTATTCCCAAGTTGTTCTTTGAGTAACTCAAGATCATGCTTCAAAAAAATAACTTGGATAAAAATGGGCAAGACGCAACAATATTTCTTTATTAAAAGCAGAGAAAGAATTGCTTGGACTTAAACTTGCCACACAAAGAAGTAACTCAATATTCTTAATAAATCGATCAATTAACTCAGGGAGTTGCTTATCAATGACATCGATGAATAAATTAACATGATAATGATGCAAGTTTGTGATGGGCTGAGCTTTTCGGTTTGATATGCACAAGGCTTATCTCACATAAATCACGTGTCATTATATAAGTAGAGGGAAGTTTTATTGTTCAAGTGTCTCACATAAATCTATTTGACCGCATAAATTAACATGTGTTTTTTTTTTTTTTTTCCTATGTTAACCTTGTTTGATATCCCTATTTTGCAGAACTTTTGAGTGAGGAGCTATTTTTAGAGGAAGGGTAACATGACATGAGATGAGGTGTTAAGAGTTTCTGAGACATAACAAGAGGTTTGATGTACATCCACTACAAAGGTAGACTTCATGAAGATATGAATCCGTCAAATGTACTTGTACAAGACAACGAATGGAAGATATAATATTTCGAGATTGGTGAGAGTGTTTAAGTTTGTTTATTAGTAAATGTAAAAACTGGTGTGAGCTTTTAAGAAATAATTTAACGCACTTGTTTATGCAGCACGAAAGCTAATGGATGATTGTTGTCAGGGTGGGGAGATGAAAGAAAAGTTGACAGGTCAGACATATGATGCGCCATAGGATAAAAGTGGGCTTAAAAAAACATGTTCATCCTTGGTATGATGCTCTTGAAGCTGCTTGTGCAACTAGAAACGTTTTCAAAAAATGGTAGCATTCTTTACGGCTTCAAGAAGGAATGAAACCTTTTTGAAAAAGTGAACGACCATCAATTTAAAAGGCTTGTGATGAAGCTTGTGGACAAAGATCCTACAAAAAGGCCTTCATCGGTAGAGATTTTGGATGATATCACTACATAGAATGTATATGGATATAGTCTGATGGTGGTGATTGAGTCATTAACTCTCACATTCTGATGCTGATGAAGACATTCATGAACATAGTTGTTACGTTGTTGTATAATGCCAATCCACATACTCACTCTTCATTCACTCCACATGCTCACTTAATCTATTTAAGCATATTGTGAATGACAAATGAGTTTTGTGGAGTTGCATATGGAAACACACAACAATTATGTCCATGTTTGTCCTCATCGACATCGGATTGTGAGAGTTGGAGGGCTTTGATCTCTACTATCAAACTATATCCATATACGTTCTAAAAGTAATATCATATAATACCTCTACAGGTGAAGGCCTCTTTATAGGGTCTTGTCCAAAAGCTTTAGCACAAAGCTCTTAATCGAGGATCAATCACTTTCTTAGGAAGTTTTCCTTCCTTCTTGAAGCTGTAGAAAATGATACAATTTTTGGAAATCATCCTTGGCTGTGCATTCAGCTCCACGAGCATCATACCAAGGCTGAACATGTCCTTTTCAAAGTCCACTTTATCTGCTGGCACATTATGTCTAACCTTTCAACTCTTCTTCCATCTCAACATCCTCAAAACAATCACCCACCAACTTTCATGCTGCATAAAAAAGTGCATAAAATTATTTCTCAAATGTTCTCACCAACTTTTACTTTTACTAATAAACAAACTAAAAACACTCACCAATTCCTAAATCTCCCATCTTCCATTCGTTGTCATGTACAATTACATTTGATGGATTTAGATACCCATGCGTTATACCTTCATGGAGGGTGTACAACAACCCTTTTGTTATGTCTCAGAAAACACTCAATGCCTCATCCCATGTCATGTTACCCTTCCTCTCCAATATCTCTTATTCGGCAAAACATGTTTAAGTAAAAAACAGAACACATATCTTTAAATAGTCTAAAGGTAGATTTCCCAGTATTCTTGTACAATGTACAAACAAGGACATTGTTGCTTCTCTGTCTTTGTTCTTACTAGAAATTACGCCTGCGCGTTGCTGCGGGAACCATCTGTTTCAGGCGTAACCAAATGAATGAAACACATTTAAGTTGAATAAATTCAACACAATTATGAACAAACATAGGGATACATGAGTGAATGAGGTCAATAAGATAAGCAGTTTATGCTACCTTGTGCCAAAGAGTTTATGCTAGTATGCCCTCTTATGTTTAAGGAGCAATTGAAAGAAAAAAGTTCATGAACGTCGCTCTTTTGCTGGCAGAGTTAGACTCATATCAGGATCACTACAGGTTCTGGGAAAGGATTGCCAAAAGAAAGCATGCATAACCTCTCCTACAATTACCTAAATGAATGCATGCATAACTTCTTCTACAGTAAATTTGTTCACCTGAGTCACAATCCCCTTGCAAGGATTGTAAAACTCAAAGCTTACTGTCCAAAACCAAATAATGTGTACCATTGACATGCTTGTGCAACATATGCCTTAAACTAGAAAAACATCAAAAATCGAATACAAATTTGTAAATGATGGACGGATTTTGTTTTACATTTTTATAATCAAATCAAGTGGCAATATAGCACGTAAAATTACGAACTTGAAGCAACCAAAGAGAGCGGAAATTAAGATGTAGAGATATCCTCAAACTTCCAACATACTGTATGGAAGCTAACCATAGAGGTTTGTGAAGCAAACTACGGCATGAGTTGCAGGTAATTGAACAAAAACATAGTAGTTTAACCAAAAATGCATGATGAAATGGATTCATAGTTTTCATGCATGACACAACCCTATATTATTCCATAAGTCAACTTAATATCATTCCACAAAGTGAAATTATAATGCTTACTTGTCACAGAAAGGGCAATGCCAAAATGAAGGTATATGGCGAAACTTAGTAACCTGTAGCATTCATTGCACTTTGTAGCCGATATGTTTTTGTCGATCTGATAGCATCTGCTAACACAAAAAAGGCCACAAACGGGATACCAAGTCTACTTTGATTCTTATATCATGCGATAAATAGAACAAATAGATGATGTTTTCATATCAATAGCATACTAAGAAATCTAAAGGACACAACACAGTAGCTTACTAATTCAAAAGATTAAATGAACTATAAATGGACCAACGGTTAATCGAACAAATTCAATATAACTGAATCACATTCTAATTTTAAGCTAAGCACTATATTGCCAAGAAAAGTGCCCTCAACAACACATGGAGGTAAGGACCAATCTAGTAATCTTGAGAAAAGGGGATCCCTGAACCCTCAAAACCCACGCACATCTTTTGGCATGATAAGTCATATTGCCAAAGCACAAAAGAAAAAATAATAATAATGTATTGACACATTAAAAAAGAAATTCCGAACCTTTTGTACAATGCAAGAAGGTCTGGGAGTATTTTTGTACAATGCAAGAAGGTCTGGGAGTATTGAAAAGAAATGTCTATAAGAAGTATTCAATTTTTTCTTTACTATGCTCAATTATGTGGATGTGCATTGTACTGCTATAATGATGACAATTATTTGTCAAATGCAAGTGGATTTCTACCATTTTATCAGAAAATGTTAATATCAAAGGAAAGTAAGCTTGTATGGAAAAACAATCGTTTAAAATTAATGACCATATTAAGAAAAGAAGAGTTTCAGCAAATAATTGAATGTAATACAATAGACATAGATGAGAGGATTGAGTAATTAGGAATTTTTGAGTAATTAGGAATTCTATCATTCATGTGAAAAAGAAAACATGCATTATAGTTGAAACAACTCTACCTTTACTTGGAGCCTTAACTTCAAATAATCCATTATCTCACCACGCATGGTGTCTGCACAAAACAGAAGCACATAGAATACAGATGATGAGTTTCTGCACAAAGCAACTAAAACGACGTAATACCTAAGATCCAATGAAGTCAAATTTTGCTTGCTATATATGGATACGCATGCTATAAGAAACATCCATTTGGATATCATAATGTGTCATCAATATCATATTTTCAAGTAATCAGTCTACTACATGGAGGAAAAACACAGAAAAGGGAAGTAGAAAAGTAGAAGACATAATACTTGGGCATTTGGCATGAATAGTAAGTTTCTGAAAAAATTGCTCAACCATCTTACAAATTCAATCATTAAATGTTATACTGTAACCCAAGACAAAGATAAAATTATACAATTTGTTTACAAATCAAAACAAAGTGCTACTATAATCCGCAACCGCTATCAATCATAAGATGGTAAATGAGAGAGAGAGAGAGAGAGAGAGAGAGAGAGAGAGAGAATTCGAGAAGCACCTGCTAACATTACCAAAAAATTGAAAATGGTGTTTTTCATATGAAGATAAGGCGCCTACTATGAAATCAGGGCACAAAAATTATAATTAAATTTTTTATGTAAGGTCAAAAACTAATTCATTGATTAATTAAGAGAAATGACTGAAAACGTCAACTTTTCAATTGTTATCAGTATTACATGGACTAAAAGAACAGGAGAAGTAAGATTTCATGTAGAAGATCGCATGTATAAACTAAATCCAGTAAATCAGAGAAAAATGTAATACAACCGTACACGACTGGAAAAGAGAGAGTACAAAATCCAGTCTACTGCTTAAGCATGACTCTATGTAAGATTCTTTTCCCTTAAAGTTTGAACAGACCAACATATCACATTAAGGAAAACAAATCACCTTCTCAGCCTTGGCAGCAGCTTGTGCAGATTTTCCATACAATTCTTCTCTAACAGCAAGTTGACCCTTCAATTCTTATCTTTCAAGCCCTGAAAACACAAAATCCAAGATGCAGTGACAAATAAACATGTATAAGTTTCATGAAAACTCAAAGTTTCTAGGCCATACCTCCAAATTTGCTTCTGCTCCACTAAAAAACTTCTTCACTCTCTTATCTAACTCATCAGAAATCTTCTCCTGCAAATTAAGGTACTGCCCATTTTATTTTCTCATTCCCTTTTTAAGAAAATTATGTGCACATAAGAGCCTAAAGTTCGGCTCTCATGTTGGTGAGTTAAATAGTGCAATGTAGAAAAGGTGGGAGCTTAATCCAGAGCTATCATAACTAAAATACCAAAATATCAAGACTTGAAAATCTCCACCAAACAAAACATCTAAAAAACATTTAAAAAACATATTTTCAAGGTGGGAGCTTACAGCAGTTTCAAATCCTTCAAATGCAAAATGCCCTGAAACTTGATGAGTAATACAATTCAACGACGAAATTCAAATTTTATTTTTCCATAGAAAAAAAAAAGATAAACTGGTCCACATAAATCTTTTAGCTTGAAAATCCACACCCACAAACCAACCCAATTCAAATGGTGAATTTGTTATAAATGAACACTACGATTTGAGGATCGATCACATACCAGCTTAACAGCCACCTCCTCCCCACTGTGTACATTTACACCTAACACCAGAAGAGCAATTTCATTACAAAACACATTAAATTAACACAATGAATAATTTTCTAAGGAAAAAAGGATATCAAGCACTGATCACCATACCTAAATAGAGTTCTCCGAAAGACCCACTCACAATCTTCCTCCCCAGCTTAAACTTCCCAGCAGTCACATGCTCCATGATGCAACAATGCCCAATACGATTCGACCCACAGACTCAAATTGGCTTTATTTCACAGCAATTTGTGCAAAATTCGTCCTTCCCAATCAAATCCAGCTGCACGGCATGCTCAACCAGCGAAAATATGCATATCCCCTTCTGATTCATCCACTCTGAAATCTGCAACCTATAACACATTATTACGAAAGAAGAGGAATTTCCAATTACTTATGATACAAACAAACACAGTACTAACAAAAATCCTAATTCCCTCTTTCACTCACTTTCTTTAACTAAAATTTAATTACTTCATGCTTCTTTCAATTTTCTTTCATTTTCTGAGCAACCAAACAGGGGATAACAATAATTGCAAGGTCAGAAAGAAAGATGGAAACCTGGAGGGCTTGGGAGAAGCGTTTCCGCTTTCGGAGGTCGTGAATGATGCGCAGAAGCTCTGTGACTCGGACTTTGTTGCCATTGTAGACGCAGTAGTCGAGCTCTGGAACCACATTCAAGCTAGGGTTTCCGAGCGGGCTGATTTTGTTGTAGAGGGTCAGCTAGTTGGTCTTGTAGTAGGTCCTGCTCGTGTAGTAGGACCTGCTCGCCATCGCATTTCGGATTAGGGTTCTGGCGAAGAGCTTCGGATCCATGATTTGGGGTTTAGGGTTTTTGGAGTTGGGGGAGAAGAACCGGAGAAATGAAAATGAAGGGGGGCTTTTGGAGGAATGGGGAGAAGAAGAGAAGCAGCTGAGACAGAGAGAGCTTTCCTCATGTCTTTCTTGGTGCAGGTAACTCATTGTGCTTAATTAGCATCACACAATAATTAGCATCGCACAATGATGTAGGATTTGAGAGGATTTTAAAAGATTTTAAAATTCTAGTGTAATCAATTAAAAGATTTTAAAGGATTTTAAAATTCTTCCACCACAATCCATTCCAATTCTTTAAAAATCCATATAAATTTTGTAAGAGTCTTTAATCCTCTTAAATCCTATCAAATCTATCATTTTTAAAATCTTTTAAAATCCTTTAAAATCTTAGTTTGACTACACCCCTAAAGTTCTAATTATGTTAGACCTATGCCATGTAGCATATGAATTCAACTCAAGACCCTAAGGGGGCGTTTGTTTGCCCTCACTAAGTAGGACTCGATTTGACTGGACTAGCTGTTGGTCCAATACCCTATTTGTTTGGTGCTGGGATTAATATTAATGAGACTAAAGGGGACTTGCATGGACAAAACCCTTCGCTAAGAGGTCTTAGCGAGATCCCCCAATAACCATGGGATTGTTAAGACCTCTCTCTGCTACTGCTTGTGTTGCTACCTTTCTGTTCTCACTCCGAAATCACACCACCAGACCTGAAACCCTTTCACGTACGAAGTCTGCATGTTGCAAGTCGTCTACTTCTCTGCAACTTTGGCCACCTATACCTAGATCTGAAACCCATCCCAAATCTGAAACCCGCCACACCCACCGCCTAATTCTTAACATCCAACCACCAAAATTTGAAAAGAAAAAAAATCAATTCGATAACAACAACAAACTCAATAGAAAAATTCTTCATTTTTCCCAGCAAATTAAGAGATTTTCTGAGAAAATCAGAGGAAGGGCGAGAAACGGAATAGTTGTGAAATCCATGGTGTTGCAGAGAGGAGCCTCTGCACGATTTCAATTTTCCGTGGGATTTGAAGTTGGGAAATCAAAATCTGTGGTGCCATAAATAATTTAGAGGAATCACAACAGCAAAGAAAAGGAAAGGGAAAAAAAAAGAGAGAACAAAAAGGGGGGGGGTGTGATGAATGCTGCTGTTTTGAGGGAGGAGAGAGTGGAAAGGAAAAGAAAAAGATGAAGAGAGGGAGAGGGTCGGAGCAAAATTAGGAGGATCAAAGGAAAAAAAATTAGGAATGGAGATGGGAGGTTTCAGAATGAAAAAAGAAATAGACAGTGGAAGTAATAAAATATTACTAAATATGTATTAAATAATATAAAATATTAATAAAATATGAATGAAAAAAATATAATATTAGAATTTGTTGTTATCATGTTGTTTAGTTCGACACTGCATCAAACGCTTCATTAAGTTAGTCAAGCTTGGTCTAGTCAAAGCCAATCCAACTTAGTCCCTAAAGCTAGTCCAGTCCGAGATAGTCCGGTGCAACAAATGCACCTTAACATTACAGGCCAAATTAATTGATATTATCAAGAAGTTGAGACTTTACCAAAGCAGCAAGGTAGCGGTTGCAAAATTCACAGTCAAAAGCTTTCACTTTGTTTTGATCTGCAATCAAGGAAATAAAACACATTTCATTAAAGAATGCACTTCAGCCATTATCAAATTGTCAACCGAACAAAACGTATAAAACTATACACATTTACACAGTCAAACTGTAAACTTTTTATCAGCAAAAAAAAAACAGCAATTTTCCCAAAAAAAGATAGCAATTTACGTAAGAATAAACACAAAATTACATATTCAAATTGATTCGACAATTTTTAAAGATTCAAAAACTGAAGCAACATACATTTGTTTGAATATCAAACTCATTGTGTCATCTGAATTCACTTGTATACATAAGCTACCAACGTAATCACTTTGTTACCACATGTGCTAATCTATTAATAGCAGAGAAAAAAAAAAATTTATAGAACAAACTCACAACCAAAATGAGTTATGATATGAAATAAGAGCCTAACGATCAAACCATCCCATAAGAAATGATGAATCAAAGCAATTTTCTATCAAACAACTAAGGACCTTGGAAGATGCCCTTACTTACTTGGGGGAGTGGAGGGAGAGTAACCTATAGGAACTAAGACATTATTGGTTTTTCTTTTGCATGTAGTTCGAAAGGAACAGACTCGGTATAATCTTATACAACAGTCCTACAAATTATATTGTGGGACATCAAATATATCAACCTTTTCTGACCCTTTCTTTCATGCGTTTCTTGTTGCCTTAATACATGAGCCAGCAAGCCAACCTATTCCTCATGTCTTTACATGGATCATCCCAGAAGCATGTTGTTTTATGGGGCATTTAGACTTAGGGACCTAAAGAAGACTATTTTTTCATTATAACCGGGATGCTTTTATAAATCTAGTTTTAGTCCCTAACTTTCAAACCCATAATCAATCATATTAAATACCCCTGCCCACTTTTATTATTTTCAAATTTTTGCCTAAAATTCCTAATTTAATCATAAATAAGGCCTTAAAAATAGGAATTTTTATTTCTACATATCAAATTTAGTAATTTAAAATGGAAGACTTTTTAAGTCATTTTGCTAATGAGAATTAAACTATATAAAAATTTATACAATCACAAAACCAAACAAATAAATTAATATGCAGACACAATAAACAATATGCATTATAAAGGTACATGAATATATACATAGGTGCATATATAGGTACACATATATACATAGGTTCATAGGTACACAAATGTATGTATAGGTGCATATATATAGGTACACATATACATAGGTTCATATGTATAAGTACAAAAATGTATATATAGGTGCATATATCTCGGTACATAAATATATATTTATGTACATCTGCATAGATACACAAATTATGTACACATATATATACGTGCATATAAACATGTATGTATTGTTACCACTTAACATTTTTGTACCCATATTGAATACATATTAAGTAAAAATCTTCTATTTATAATACTAAAAATAAAACAAAACAAATGTTAATAATTATTAGCTAGATTTTAGGTGATATATAAAGTCAAAGGACCAAAATCAGTATTTAATCTTACATCCAACTTTAATGAAAAATAGATCTTATTTAGAGATTATAATCTAGTTTTCTATTCTTTTATTCACCTGCCCTCAATATATAACAAACTCTTCCATCTTTTTACAAGACACTCTCCTGCCTCACTCTTATACTTGCATATGTCATACACAATATGTGCATGCTCACAGCCAACAAGAAAAAGAAAGTGTTATGACAGTATGAACTGAAGAAAAATATAATAATATAAGTGATAAAATTAGGGAAATTGGATGTTGTATGGACAATTATTAAAATCTTTTGCTGAAATAGGAAAATCAACACTACCAACATGAATTTTGACACAAAAAAATCTCATATGCCCTGTCTTAATCACAATTAAGCATCTTAATTAGTTTACAAAATTAATAGCAAAAGTCACATTTCAGCACCAATTAATAGCAAAAATCAGAGTTTAGTGGCGGGGACCAAAAGAATCTCAGTAAAAATGAAACAATTCCAAACAAATAGAAAGAACTCGAGAAAATTCACCCAAAAAAAAAAAATACTGGAGAAACAATTTCAAACAAATCTTTAAAAAGCAACCGCACCGGTTGCTCACTGTCTCTCTGCCCAATTCCCGCTTCTCCCTACATCTATTTCTTTCCATCGGCTTGCAATCATGTAAACTTGTACCATGGAAAATGTGAGACAATGAATCAAAGTAAACCATTTGGAAAGCATTAACGCTTCAATAATTCAAGGAACTTAGCTGAAATTCCATGATACAATCATTAATCTGCCGATACACCTAGAATGTTGAACAATTATAATTCTCTAATGTCATGTCTAGAGGAGGTACTTTAAAGTACAGAGGGATTTTAGATTCGGTTGTTAAAAATGCACAACAAAAACATTAGACTAAATCTATGAAGTTGCTATTAGAAGAGAATGGAAGTTCTTCTAAAGTTGGATTCTAGTTTTTAATCCTGTAATGATTTCGATCACTGGCCAAAAATGATTTTCTAATACGTGATGGACTTGTTATTTCTCTCCTAAGTCATGATTTCTAATTATTTTCTTCTAGAGTTTTGGCTGATCATCCAAATTGCAACAACATTCAACCTTTGGGAATTATGTAAATTTGGGGCAAAAAAAAAACCAGTCAATATATGGCTTGTCATTTTTCAACCTATCGAATTCAAAGTAGCACTTCTCTAATTCAACACATCCAATTCATATCAACACATATCCAAATTCTAGTTCAATAAACCACATATCCAAATCAATTCAAACTAAATACCGAATATTCAATCACATATCCAATTCAAACAACATGACTAATATTCAAGAACATGTCCAATCTTTAAGCACATTTACAAAACATATTTAGAACACTATAAAATCCTCTTAGTAGCTAAACATAAACATCAAAATCCAATAGAAAGACAAAGTAGCATACAAGTTCTCTATTTTGTATGTTGTTTTTAGGTGGATCTTCCTAACTCGTCCCAAAAAACTGTGCATATAGTTCACCTGCAAGCATCATCCCACAACCAAAAATTAGAGAGAACCAAGGAATACACAAGGAGCCAAGAAATGGGAAAAAAAAAATCAATCAACAAAGGAATGAGAAGCAAAATCAATGCTTTCAAAGTCGTATGTGTTGATGCAAATTTCCGCCGTCTTCAATCTTGACGAAAATACACCTGCAAAACAATCAACACTTTTGATCAAAGACCTAAGCCTCACGCACCCACAAAGTTGGGGGAGGGGGGGCATTAGGTTAACGGATCTCCGATGCCTAAGTTAGTTTCTATGAGAGAGTAAAGTGTTTAAGGCTTTTTAGGGTTGCAAAAGCCCTCTAAATTGGTAGAATATGGGAGTATTTATAGGGTTAGGGCCGGCCATATAGGGTTTAATAGAGAAATATTCTCTAAATATTCCCAAGATATTTAATAGGAGATAATATCTTGAGATAATAGGGTAATAATCCTTAATTTATTTAAATTAGGATTACTTACTTGATTGGAGTCAATCTTCAATTAGGAATGTATTAAAGATAGGATTTGGGTAATTAATCCTTA